GATCAATATGACCATTTGACCAATCTTAAGCGACAAGTCTGTAGTTTGCCACTTGTTCTTTGTTGGAATTGATGCAATATTCGCGTGTCCAACGTTTCCAAAAATGCTGTCTTAATTGTTGGACATGCTGCCATTTTGAGAGACAATTTATAGGAACCTCTTCCAAAGATTCTCCAGGATATGCTGTAAGAGGCGTACCTATAATAAAGTGCCCTGGCGTGAGAAACAACAAGTCACTTGGATCTGATGATATTGGTGTCAATGGGCGTGAATTTAAAATCGCTTCTATTTGTATAAGTAGAGTTGGCAATTCTTCATACTTTAGATGAGCGTCTTTAGTTATTTTAAGTAAATGCCGTTTAGCACTCTTTACTGCAGCTTCCCAGAGGCCTCCATGATGTGGCGCCCGAGGAGGTATAAAATGCCAACATATTCCATGGTGTGAGGCATACGCATTAATTTGCTGCTGTGCCTTCTCATCATTGAGAAGCGTGGATAGCTCATTTAATTCACGGGCAGCTCCAACGAAATTTAGTCCATTGTCAGAGAACACATCCGATGGACAGCCTCGTCTTGATATAAAACGCTTAAGAACGTTCAAAAAAGCTTCGGTGGATAGATCTACCGCCAATTCGATATGGACGGCCTTTGTTGCCATGCAGACAAAAATGGCCATGTAACATTTGATGAGCCTTGTATTTTTTCGTGTACTTTCCTTGTGATAGAGAGGACCTGCGTAGTCCACTCCACATTTTTCAAATGGTCGACTGAGTACATTTACTCGTGAGCTTGGAAGATTGCCCATTATAGTCGAAGCTGGTTGAGGAGAGTTCCTGAAACAAACCACGCATTTACGCACTATTTGACGCGTGATATTTCGAGCAGAAATTAACCAGTAGTTTTGTCTGACTGCTGCTAAAGTGGCTTGTGCCCCGGCGTGCAAATGTCTTTCGTGCTCATGCACGACAATAAGATGCGAGAATGAATGATGACCAGGTAGCAGTATAGGATGCTTAGCGGCATAGGGTAGGTTGGATGCCCTTAATCGTCCGCCGACTCTTAAGATTCCAGTATCATCTATAAATGGATTTAGTCGCAGAGTGGGGCTATTTTTATTTACAACGCCATGTTTGGCAAGAGATTTGAGCTCATCCTGGAAATGCTTGCTCTGAATTAGTTTTACTAGGCATAAAGTAGCCTGTTTCTGCTCTTCTCTTGAAACTGGTGGAATTTTGTGGCTGGAGTTTTTCGAAGGTTCTTGTGCATTCTGTTTGTTGACTCTTCTTGAGTTTCTTGAGAAACGTAGCAAGTATGCTACTACATGGATGAGTTTCGTTAATTTAGAATATAGATGGAATATGTTAAATTCTTGACTAGCTGCCATAGTTGTAAGGGTTGCCTTTGCTTTTCTTTCAGACAATTCCTCTGCATTGATCGCAGGGAGACCTTGTGGCCATTCATTTTTATCCCGAGATAACCATGGAGGTCCTGACCACCAAAGGTTTAGTATGATTAAGTATTAGGCATAACGCCTCTTGATAAAGGATCAGCTGGATTGTCTTCACTTCGAATGTGGTGCCAATATTGAATTGGAGTTAACTGCTGAATTTCAGCCACTCTATTTGCAACAAACGTTGTCCATTCTCTGCTACAAGTTTGAAGCCAAGATAATACGATCGTAGAATCGGTCCAACGATAGGTGGCATTTATGGTGCATGGAAGGCACTTTGATATCTTATTAACTAATTGTGCTAGTAGTACTGACGCGCATAGTTCCAACCGAGGCAATGATAGGGTTTTTAATGGAGCTACCCTCGACCTTGAGCAAAGTAAGTGCGCTGAGTGTTCTCCGCTAATTGATGTGGCTCTCAAATAAATGCATGCACCGAAGGCAGTTTCGCTTGCATCCGAAAATCCATGCATTTCCAAATGAATAGGCTGATTAATTGTTATGACACGACGTGGAATGCTAATGCTCTGTAGATCCTGTAACTCGTCTTCATAGCGCTGCCATTTAATCAGATGATCTAAAGGAATGGATTCGTCCCAGTCCATCTTTAGACGCCATAAATCTTGCATGACAATCTTAGCAAAAACTGTTGCTGGTCCAAGTAATCCTAGTGGATCAAAAAATTAGTGCAATGCGTGATAAGATGCTTCTCTTAGTAGGTTTCTCTATTGGCGGAAGAGAAGCAATACTGGGGAATTTGAAAGAATCTGAACTGCAATCCCAGACTATGCCTAAAGTTCTTCTTTCACAATTCTTGTCGTTTGCAAGGATAAATTCCCTATGACCAAGTGTATCTTGATTATCTCTTAAAGCAGGCTCATTGGAAGCCCATTTTCGCAATTCAAATTTTCCAGTTTGTAAAAGCTGCATCAAGTCACTTTTGATTTGTAATGCTTCCTGTAATGTATCTGCGCCTGACACCAGGTCGTCGACGTAGAAATCTCTCAAGACTATCTTGGAGGCTAGTGGATATTGCTCAGAATGCTCTTCAGCAAGTTTCCTTAAAGATCTGATCGCCAGAAATGACGCTGATGCTGTTCCGTAAGTAACTGTTAGTAATTCGAGTGTTCTTATAGGTTCGTCATCAGAATTGCGCCATAGAATGCGCTGCAAGGCTGTCTGACTTGGATCTACTAAGACTTGCCTGTACATTTTGCTTACGTCAGCTGATAATGCTATCTTAAAGGTGCGATATTTCGTTAGAATTGCAAAAAGATCTTCCTGTAGTGTAGGACCGACCATCAAGGTATCGTTTAGTGAAATACCCGTGGTAGTTTTGCAGGATCCGTCGAATACAACCCTGACTTTGGTCGTGGTACTTGCTTCGTTTCTCACCGCGTGATGCGGTAGATAAAATGATGTAATCCTTGGATTTGATATCTGATCATTGATTAGTTCACGCATATGCCCAAGTGAGTCGTATTCATGCATGAAAGACTTGTATTCCTTGTAGAGAGTTGGCTGAGATATCAACCTGGATTCAAGTGCCTTGAAGCGTCGCATAGCTATCTCACGAGATTCGCCCAAGTTGGTTAGTTTATCTTGCTTTACTGGCAATGTTACAACGAATCTTCCTTCTTCATTCCGCTTTACGTTTTCTAAGAAAATCCTTTTGCATGCTTTCTCTTCTTCAGACAATTGAGGTTCCTCAATATTATGCTCTATTTCCCAGAACCGCTTCAACATGTAGTTTAAATTGTCTAGTAAAGTTACGTGAAAATTACTGACATGGATTGATCTAGCTTTAACATTTGTTATGGGACCGGAGATAACTCAACCAAAATGTGTTTTTTGCAAAATGGGCTGCGACTTTGCTTGCTTAATTTGACCTGCACACATAGTTTTCCAAAACAATTCAGCCCCTATTAACATATCAATATTCGCGGGTATATTAAAATTAGGATCTGCTAACCTTATATTTTTTGGAATGGCTACATTTTGGATAGGTATGACCTGTTGTGGTAAACGCTGAGTAATGGTTGGTAACACGACACATTCTAACTTTTCTCGGAAGTTATTGAAACGTGACTTAATGCATACAGTGATTGTTCTTTTAGCATGAATTACTCCCTCCATTACTCCTGATACTGAAACTTGAAGTGATCTCTCCTCAAGCTGCAATTTATCAGCAAGCTCCTTAGTTATGAAATTCATTTGCGAACCGCTGTCAAGCAAAGCTCGACATGGATATGCCTGATTGTTGGAGTCATATATGTGAATAACAGCTGTGGATAATAAAATACTTGAAGAGAGGTAACTTGCTACGCATTGCGTAGAAACAGGAAGCTGAGAGCTATCTACTCGCGTTGAATTTGCACTTGAATTTAAAGCTTGATTTGACTCGTCTGTCGTCGATAAATGTAACATAGTATTATGCTTTTTATGACATTTACGACATGGACCCGAATGACATGCTTTCGCTTGATGCGAAGACGATCTTAAGCAATTAATACAGATGTGACACTTTTTTATGTGCTTAATTCTCTCATCTACAGGCAACTTAGCAAACTTTTCGCAATGATATAAGTAATGATTTTCTTTACATAAAGAACAAGACAAATTAGTTGTAGCAACGCTTGCCACTGACGCGTTCTTATATTTACTGACCTGTTTTTGCGCAGAGCTATTTGTTTGTACATTTGCCTTACTATTTACCGCTTCTAACGCCTGGCATCGCTTTGACAAAAAATCAGTTAGCTTTTTTAGATCGGGAAGCTCAGAATTTGGACTGGTTTCCCAGGCCTTAGTGGTGGCTGCGTCCAGTTTAGAGACAATTATATAAATAAGCAAGGCGTCCCATGAATCCGTTGGCAGTTTGAGCGCCCTAAGAGCTCGCACGTGCTTAAGAATGGCATCCAACAATTCGCGCAGAGCTGTATGATTCTCCTTATTGACAGCAGGTGCTTCAAATATGGCACGGAGATGCTTTTGGACGATCCATCTTTTATTGTCGAATCGTTCCTTTAGTGAATCCCACGCCTCTTGATAATTATCGGTTGTGGTTTCTATTGACTTTATAATCTCCGCCGCCTTTTCCCTCAATGACGAGCGTAGATAATGGAACTTTTCTATCTCTGTGATATCATTATTATTATGGATTAATTTTTCAAACGTATCTTGATATGTATACCAGTCTTCATATGAGCCTGCAAAATGTGGTAAATTTATTTTAGGAAGACGAATGCGCAAATCTCTGCTATTATTACCCGTGTGGGTACCCTGTAAATTCTCTATGTTCTGTGCCCTAGGAGTGTTAAATTGTTCAAGGATTAATTCGCATTTTGTCATAAGCCCAAAATATGCTGTTTCAAAACTCATACGTTGAATTTGTTGCTGCTCAGTGAGAGCTTCCTTGTCGGCAATAGACATGTCGGCATTTTCAAGCGATTCTATTGTGCTTTGAATATCGTCAAATTGGTTCCAAAGATCGGATAATTTTTGCTTGCGCTCAGTTATATCGTATTGCGACCCTTCTTCTACATTGAAATTCTCTATATAATTTTTAATACGCGTAGCCGCTGCCTTTATTTGCCTTCGCTTGTTTTTTGCTTCCGTTAAACTTAAGGTTGCCATGACAAAAAAAAACTAAACACGACCTTGACCCAGAAAAATAATGCAATATGGCCGTTGTTCAGCGATAACTACAATTGCCCTTATATCAAATCCAATGTGCTCTTGTGAACGAAATTAACAATGCTTTTTTGATAGACTTCTTACCTTGTAATTTAACCTCAAAGTAAGACTTAGAAGTACTCACTGTTCTATTTGCATTGTTTTATGCCTCGATACTTGTGTATCTGTACGTTTTTTATCCTTTGTAACTTTTATATCCTGTTATATCCTGTTAAATCCGGCTCGAAGGACCATTTGTTAGTAATGAGGCTTGGTGCCCTTTGCGTATGTGAACGCGCTTTTTCTCTTTTGTTGCCTTGTGGCACAATGAGAGGTGATGTTCCTCTCTCTTTGTAATAAGAAAACTCAAATAATTGTATATATGGCTCAACTTTATTATGAGGTAGTCTTCATGACTGTACCATAGAACTTATAGTAAATGGAAGAGGAATAGCGTATCTAAACAATGGGTGGAAAGTGTGAGCAACATCTAAGAGACAGAAGATGTATTTCTGTCCTGCTCAGTGACTTTTCTTCTCTCTGCGCATGTGCCAAGCGAGACGCGGTATTTTAATTGTCGAGTTCTCTGTAACCTCTGCTTTAAAAAATATGAAATAATTGCAAACTATCATATTAAAAAGGAAAAACCATTTAATAAGATATAAGAACAAAAATAGATAACGACACAAAGAATACATAAAAATAAATACAATATGAGATATAATGTTGAAAGAAATATATGATATATGTATATATATAATGGAATTATCAAAG